CTTGAAGTTCTCCACTTCTGCAAAGAAAGTAGGAAGATGCATTTCATCAGCTTTCCTCTGATGTCAAGAAGTCATGATTATGTCATGTTTCTAGTTTCTATTTCTATTGTTGTAGTTGTATACATTGTCATGGTTCTGCTTACTCCACTGTTTATGAGTTCATATATCTTTCCAATCATCTCTGATTCTTCATATGCCATGTTACTTAAGGCACGATAATATCCCATAATCTCCAGGTACCAGAATCTATTTAGCCATTCCTCAGTTAATGGGCAACTACTTTGCTTCCAGTTCTTTCCTTATGGAAAAAAAAAAGGATCTGACATGGTTTCTACTGACCTTTGAGGTTTTTGTAAGGTACATAAATATAGGACCATTATACATGATGTAAAACATGATCACCTTATAGTTGGGGAAGATCTTGACTTTATTCTAAGCCCTTTCACCAGGAAATCTCTGATTACTTTCATTCTTACACTGTACCTTCTACCATCTTAAAACAAAACAAAAAGAAATCAATCCTTCCTTTCTATTTTTCCTTAGCAAATTTATTTACTATTACCTTTACTTGTTCATCCCATTCTTATTTTTCCATAATGTCCCTCATATGGCAAATTTTCCCATTTCCTATTGCCAAAATCTCTCTTCCGTCATTCCAAAAAAGGGGTCAGACTAGAGATAAGAGATTTGGAGTTTAGGTTTGTAACAACCAAAAGCATTTATTAAGAGCCTCCTAAGTATTGAGGATATAAAGACGACAATCTGCCCTTCAGGAGCTTATGTTCTATTGAGTGAGGCAACATGGGCACAGATAAGTAGCTACAAGATAAACACAGAGTAATTTTTTTGTGGGTGGGGGAGGGGAAGAGGCCTGAGCCACTAGGTGACACTCAAGCTAAGTCTTGAAGAAAGGCTGGAAGTTGCTGCAGTAGAGTTTGGGAGGGAGTGCATGTCAGGCATTTGGGATAGCCTGTTCAAAATGGAATGTGGTACTAAGAGAAGAAGAGGTAGACCAGTTTGACTAATCTCTCTCTACTGAGTTCCCGGTCACTAACTGCCTATTAGACATTTTGAACCGGATATCCTAAAGGCATCCCACTCATCCAAAAAAGAACTCAACAACTTCCCCAAGCTCCCTCACTTCAAACCAATACCTCTTCTGAAGGCACTCTTTTTGGTACACATTGCTATTCTTTTATTCACTCTCCAGTTTGCAACCTGAGTCATCCTCCACTTCTCTCTCACCCCACATACCCATTCAGTTGTCAAATTCTTCCTATTGGTACATCCACAATATCTCTGGCATCTGCCCCCTTCTCTCCATTCACAAAGCTACCATCCTCATTCACAATCTTATCACTTCTTACCAGGATTGTTGTAATAGATTTCTAATTGGTCTCCTTACCTCAAACCTCTTCTCTCTTCAACCATACTTCACACAGTTGCCAAAGTCATATTCATTTTTTTTTCAAAGTCATACTCTTTAAGCACAGGTCTGACCATTTTAATTCCCTGCTTAATAAACTCCAGTGGTTTCCTATTATCCCTAGGATCAAATTACAAACTATTCTGTTTGGTGTTTAAAGTTGTGCTCAATCGTTACAATCTGTATTTTTAGCCTTTTTATATATTCCTCTCCCCCCTGCACTCTATAGTATAATCAAATTGGCCTTGCTGTTCCTTACAGGTGATTTGATTCTCCCTCTTATTGCTTTTGCACAGGCTGTACCCCATGCCTAGCATTCATTTCCTCCTCACCTTTACCTCAGAGAATCCCTAGTTTCTTTCAAAGTTCAGTTTCAATGATACCTTCTACATGAGACTTTTTCTGATTTTTCCAAATTACTTTGTTTATTTTGAATAAATTTATATGTTACTGTCTCTTTGGATGGAATGTAAGCTCACTGAGGGGGTTCATTTTTATCTTTGTTTCCTCTGCACCTAGTATAGTTCTTGGCACCTAGTAGGTTTTTAATAAACGCTTGATTGTAGAGTGTGTAAAAGGAAGTAACATGCAGTAAACCTAGTAGGCTAGAATATGACTGCGAAGAATAGAATCATTTAAATGCCAGAAGAGTCTGTACTTTGTCCCCGACCATAGGGAGACACTGTGGCTTCTTGAGTAAGGAAATGACATGTACAGACCTGTGCATTAGAAATAATCATTTGGCAGCTGTGTGGAGGAGGGAATGGAGAGGGGAGAGACCAAAGACAGAGAAATTAGGAGGCTAAACTTACTGGTCTTAAATCAAGACATAGTTTTATTACCTCCCAGGGTTGTTGGGAGGATCAAATGAGATAATATTTGTGAAGTGCTTAGCACAGTGCTTAGCCTGGTACACAGTAGGAGCTATATAAATGCTAGCTACCCTTATTCTTATTAATAATAATTTTTTAAAATATAAATGTATTTTCTTTTATAGCATATACTTAAAAAAAAACCTCTTCTGTTTCTTAGTTGAAGGCTCATTTCCCACATTCTTTCCAAATCCACTAAAAATGAGTTCAATATCAATCTGAGACTTTGAATGTATTTAAAATATTTTAAGTTCTAATATCCATCTATTAATGTGACTTCCAGAAGTAATTGAAAATCTACCAAAATAAGAATTCTGAGTAGTTCAATTCCTAAGGAAGTGTCTGATTAACATTTCAAGGTGCTATCCAAATGAAGTATTCTATGAATACAAAGTATTAGTGTTATGAAACACAGAATCATAACAGTGAAAATAAAATAACTTATTTTCTAAGGTAATAAGATTATACATTTTTTAAGGCTCCATCCAATTTACTTTTGAAAAGACAAACATTTTGTTCTAATTTTCCTGAGCTGATAATGCTGCATTCCATTTTGCGTAAGAGATACCTCCAAACACCAGATATATTGCAAATAACTGCAAGATGTGTGGTCATTATATGGTAACCAAAATTGTGCTTCAAGGAAATAACATTTGTAGGGTACTATATTGAGTGCATAATACTTTTAATATATTCTCATTTGTTGGTCAAAACCCTGTGTGTGCTTATATGCATATATGTGTACATATGTAATATCTTCATTTTGCAAATGAAAAAACTGAGGCACAAAAGTTAAATGATTTCCACAAGCTAGTGCCAAAGCTAGGATTCTAATCTCAAACTCATTGCTCTTCCTACTACATTACAGTTATCATAGTTTACCCTAGTTAAAAAAGAAGAAAAGGAAGAAAGAAAAAGAAAAAAAAGCTAATTTACAAGAGTATTGGACTGTTCTATTAACAGTCTGGTTGCATAGTGGATAGAGTGCCCCTGACTCAGGAAGATCTGAATTTGAATCCTGCATTAAACACTTACTCTCTGTGTGACCCTGGGCAACTCACCTAACCTTTCTCAGGCTGTTTTCTCATCTATGTAATGGAGATAATACAGTATGTGGATGTATGTATACATAGTTATATATGGACATATGATATACAGTGCATGTGCATAGCTATATATACATATAGACTCATAATAAAGCATAGACATGCACTATATATCATATATACATCCCTATATATGTATATGCACTATATAGGATATATAGCCACATGTAGCCACATGTAGCTATACACACATATACATATATGTAAAGCGCTTTGCAAACCTTAAAGTACTATATGATTGCTAGCTATTATTAAACAAAGCATTAAATATAGTATAAAGACCTTGCAACTTTAGTCTTAAACTTTTTTTTAACTCTGTAACTTGATAAAGGACCAACGTATTTTCTTTTTACAAGCATGGCAATAATACTTTGTAAGTTCTTTCATTGGACGATCTCAAATATTTATTTATTTTACAAAACGTTAAATTCTTAAGTGGCTTTTTCCGTTCCCTCTTTACTTAAATGGTCATCGTTACTCCCATTTTGCTGTATGTCAGTCTTTAAGCAGCGCACGGAAGATGACTGATCTGGGAATCGGGAAACAAGAAACCTCGTTTAAACTTTTCAGACTGAAAACGGCCACAAAGTGACAGCTAAGCAGCTGCAGGAGAGGCAATTTTTCTTCTACAACGTACAGTCCTCATCCCCAGCCAAAAAAAAAGGGGGTGGGGTGGGTGAGTGGATGGGAGGGGGTCCCAGGGTGGGTGGGTTTTCAGTAACCCTAGCTTCCGTAAGAAAAAAGGGGAAGTCAGGTGGCTGCGGCTGGAACTGCTGGCAGCGGCGGCGCCCGCGGAGACCACTAGCTTTCAGCAGGCATGAAGAGGAGGAGGAGGTGGAGGAGCGCGTGTGCCGGGAGAGCCTCGGGCGGAGGGGGAGTCCTCCGCCAGCTCCAGTTGGGGTGGGAAGCTTGGGCTGCCAGGGTGGCTGGTGTTCACACTTTGCACTAGGATTGGGCGGGGGGGGGTCGCCCGTGAGGAGGAGGTAGGGGGAGTCAATCACCATCATCTCCTCCCTCTGTAGCTCCTTCCCACCCATCTCCTCTCCTCCACCCCCCGCACACGTCCCTCCCCCCCACCCCCCGCACACGTCCCTCCCCCCGCGATGCATGCTCCCGCGGCCGCCGCCGCTACCGGAGGTGCAGGAGCCTCGCGATAGTGTTTGCACAGGCGGCGCGTGACGCCGCCGCCGCCGCCGCCGCCTCCTCCTCCTCCTCCTCCTCCTTCTCCTCCTTCTCCTCCTTCTTCTCCTCCTCCTCCTGCTCCTGTAACTGATGCAGAGGTTACCCCGCCGCCGCCGCCGCCGCCTCCTCCTCCGCCGCCAGCCCCAGCCCCCCCGCCCCAGCGCAGCCGCCGCCGCCGCTGCTGCCGCCTCGGAGACAGGGGTGAGGAGCGGGGGCAGACGGACGCAGTGCGGAGGGGACGGCAGGTTGTGCCCGCGGAGACCTCGCCAGGCTCTCCCCTTCCCCTCGGAGCGCCCTCCTGCCGGCGACCCCCCAGCAATCCCCCCCCTCGACGCCCGCCCTCAGCTTTGCCTTCCCTCCCCTTCCCCTCCCCTCCCTCCCCATCACGGCCCCGGCCATGACTGAGGCGGATGCCGGTGCCGCCGTTGCCGCCGTTGCCGCCGCCGCCGGGGGGGTGTCCGCTTCCCAGAAAGTAGCTTGATGAGTGTCCAAAGTAGCAGTGGAAGTTTGGAGGGGCCGCCATCTTGGTCCCAGCTCTCCACGTCTCCAACCCCGGGCTCGGCGGCGGCGGCGGCGGCAGCAGCCAGGTCCCTGCTGAATCACACGCCGCCATCCGGGAGGCCCAAGGAAGGTAAATACCGCCGCCCCGAGCCGCTCCTCCGGCCGGGGCGCCCTCTCGGACCCCAGCCCTGTTCCCAGGGACCCTGCAGGTGGGGGATGGGGCGGCCCGAGCCGGCCCGGGGGCCGCCGCCGGGGCTGGGGGGTGCTTGGGTGGTGGGGTGCTTCGGGGGGCAACTGGGAGATGGAGGCGCGGGCACGACGCACCACTTTTTCTGGCGTGCCTCGGGGTCCGTCCTTGCTCCTGGAGACGAACCTTGGAGCTTAGTTACTCTTTAACACCCTTCTCCTAAATCGGTGGTGGATCTCACCTCCCTCCTCCCTCTTCCCCACTGCCTTCATCCTTCTTGTGCCCCCTCCCCTTTCCCCGTAGCCTATTGCACTCCTCCCACAGAGGCGGTCCCCTTCCTGAAAGCTTCTGTGCTGCCTGAAACTGGCCAGCGTGCTTCAGGCTGCCTCTCAGGAGGAGGGGGTCGCTTCCTTGTGGGGATTCGAGAGGGACGTTCTGGGGGGAAAAAAAAAGGTTGTCGTGGAGGACTTTGATCCCTTGCGCCGCCCCCAGAGTCATTGAAAAGACAAACCTTCTTGAAGGCAGGTTTCCTAAACCACCCCTTCCAAATGGTTGCAACTTTCCTTCCCCATCACCCCTGGAGTGTTCGTGCATTCTTGTTTTCTAGTGTAAGTGGAACACTTCCTTGCTAAGAGAAAAGGATATTGTGCAGTGTGTGTGTGTGTGTGTGTGTGTGTGTGTGTATAGAATATCAGCATAAAGGTTATGTGCAAGCAAGTCATTCTTGCTCTTTTCTGTTACAATTGCTGTCCAACTTCTGGCTCCTTGCATTCAAATATGTTGCCACCAGATGTAGCAATTATACAGCTAGTGAGTTATAGGAGGGCTTTTAGCTAAAATTACAACTTGCTGTATTTAATTTAAAAGTATTGAACGTAAAATGAAATCTAGGAATACGTCTGTATTTGGAGAGGAAAGTGCCCCCTATAAAATCATGTTTTGCCCTAACTTTAGCAATATTCTAATCAGGCTCTTGGAAATTGACTCAAACGCCCATAGGCAGTGCCTTATTCAGAAAAGGTTGTAGCACCATTTTTATGGGGGGGGGTCGACAAAAGGTAAATATACTGTAATGAATCTTTGAATGACATCAAAGACCTTATTTCGAAGGACGTGCATAGTGCAGCTTATTTTGAAAAGATTTGTAAAATATTTAATATTCATAGCTATGAAAATGTATAATCACTGGGGTGTCCTTTTAATCTCTGTACCAGTAGTTGACAGATATATCATTCCTTGTCATTGTGGTACCTATGAGCATGTGTGAAAGTGACAATAGCAGGCTCAAAGATTGGCATGAATATGCTCTAGAAAATTCATGAAAAGGTTTGATTTATGGCATCCATTAAATATGCTGAATAAATTGACAGACATTTTCTGCTTTCACCTCACCTCCAAAAACTGCATGCTAATTATTTTTTAAAATGGTTTGAGTATATTCTGGCTCAAATTTAGCAAATCAATTCAATTTAAAAATTCTGTGGCATCTTGTGTTCCTCCTTTCCTTAATGCTATTTAAATAGTATGGTAGTCCTTACCATGTTATTTCTGATTTGTTATGTAGTTTTAGTTGAATTATGATAATGAACTGGAAAAAGACCAATATGAAAAATACTTTGTTTTTTCTGCCTTTTTCAGGGTATGTTGGCCCATTTGGTTGTTACTTTGCATCAGTGAACAACAAAATAAACTAGTAGTTTTCACGCTACAAAAATCTAGACTCTCAAACTTGAGAGATTATATAGTAATAACTTTTGTTGTCAGGAATGACGGTTGTGCTCTTCCAAAAAAAAAAAAGTATGCAGTTGGAGTGGGGAGGGGATGAAAGGAAATAGTCAGTAGTAGTTGTTTAAAACTGAGCTTTATGAAATAGCTGGGTTTTTTTGTTTTTGTTTTTTGTTTATTTTTTTTGCTGTGGTCTAGATTGTGGCGAATTTTGTGTCAATTTAATAGATACTAATTCTTGAAACACCAGGATATTTTTGTTGAAAGCTTAAAATTCACATCAAGTAACTCTAAGGGCTCTGTGGGATGTTTCCATTTGACAAGAAAGTAAGCTACAGTGTTAGCCCTCTGGGGTTATGTTTTCATCTCAATGCATAGGACTTTAGTATCTGAGTTTACATTAATGCTAAGGGGAATTGCATATCTAAAACCCCAAGTATCTGCATCATAATATGTTGCGTTGAGTATAAATCCACAGCTTACAGTTTAACAAGTGCTTAGCACATTTTCCCAATTCTGCATGTCAGTATGTTATATAAATATGAGATGATTTGAGAGATATGTGAGGAACTCAATTTATTCTCTTGTTGAGTGCTTGTAGCCATTAATGTAAATGGAACTTGCCTGTATGTGTGAAGTGAAAACAGACTGATGTCCTCTGAAAAAATATGTTCCTTAATTTGTTAATATATTATTATAGTAAATTTTAAGTTTCAAGGATAAAGTATTGATTATATTTTCAGATTTGATCTACTCCAGTGAAACAGATTTAACTTTTTAAATGGATTCTTATAAGAGAATGTCTTAATCTGTGGATTGATTTATTTGACCTTTTTGAAGTTGTTTAAAAAAGGTTTGTGACCTAATGCTTTTAGTGATTTGAATGCCATTATTGAAGTTCTCAGCTCCTCCTCACTTAAAAAAAATTAAAGCCAATCCCAAGTTTTCTAATGTGGGTCTGGGAAATTTGTTGGAATAACTGTAGTGTAGACCTGTTGCTTTATTCTTGTGGCCTGGGGCAGTTTCATTTTGTCTTTTTAATCTATGCTTGACCCCCTGGTGTTAAATGTTTGCTTATTTGAATTCCATGAGTCTCCTGAGGTGGTTGTTTTTTTTTTTAATTCAAATATTTTAAAGTACCAACTATGTGCCTGGCAATGCTGGGTGCTGGAATTACAAAAATGAAAACGAAACTCTTTAGGAGCTGTATGGGAATTGATATCTAGTATTCCTGTTTGATCATTTAAAGCAATGACATCTCTGTTTTTCTTAATGATCTTTAAACTGTAGGGGATAAAAAATTGGTAAATAAATCAAACTCAACTGCAGTTTACTTGAGCTAGTCCTTAGAGCCTAATTTCACATAAACTAGTGATTTATTTGTGGATCAGTGTATGAGTTATTATTAATGTAATCAAATTATTAAGTTAGGAATCTTTCCTTGAATTTTCTTTTCTACTCAAATCTGCTTTATCCTTTCTATGAACTATGAAGTAGCATTGCTTTTATTGAACATTTACTATAAACCTGACAAAGCCTACTAGACGTTAATTCATAAATGTGGAATTGCAGAACAATTAAGTTGTTGTTCTTCCTGTTTCTATACTTGAAAAGAAAGCATTACTCTGATGATAGCAATTTGAGTATTTGATTCCATATGAAAATAGGAGAAACTGAAAACGAGGGTTTACTCGTTGTTTCTTACAAACCTTTGTGTTGTCAGAGACCTAGAAGTGGGTTTCTTAGTATGTTGCTCACATTTCATCATACAGTCTTAGACTGTATTTGCAGAAGAATAGTGTTCAGGTCATAAGAAGAAAATTGTAGTGAATTCTGTCCTGGTCAAATCACATCTCCAGTATTGTATTCATTTATGGGTGCAGCATTTTAAAAGAGATTGAATAACTGGAAAATATCCAGATGAGGGTGATGAAGGTGTTCTGGAAACAGTTTCACGTGAAGAACTCGAGATGTGTAGACTGGAGAAGTGACAACTAAATGGAGATGTGATACTGGTCTGCTTAGCTTCTTAGAGACAAATAGAACCAGTAGATGAAAGTAACAGGGACTAGATTTCAGCTGAATACCAGGACTTTTCCAACAACTTACAGCTTTTCAACAGTGAAGTGAGATGTGTCTAGCACCCTGTCTCTGGAAGGTTTCAGGGAGAGGCTGGATAATCATCCATCATAGAAAAAATTCTTGCATTGTGGAAGAGGTTGTTCTAGATGACCTTTTCAATTACTTTTTAGTTCTAAGATTCTAATTAACTTTTCTACATTTAGACTGTATTTAAACATCTACAGACATTGTGGAATATTCTCTTGTCAGCAGTATGAAATTGTATTGTTGATTTCATTGCTATTTTGCATTTATATTGTGCTTTTTCTCCGTAGAATTTTTTCTGCACTTATTGGAGTAAATATGATCAGTCTTCCTGCAATCTTGTTAAATTCCCTGTGACATATATAAGCTTTGAAGACATTTTAGGGAATCATGTACTGCTTATGGTATCATTTAGAAGAGCTATAGTAGGTTTGAATGTAGAATTTTATAATATTGTAGGGTACTGATTTTCAATTTTGAAAGAAAAATTGTAAACAAAATAGTCTATGTAGACTTTTTATTTGTAACATTTGTTGCAAATTCAAGAGTAAAATACTTTAAAATGCTCCAATTTTTTTTTAAAACTGAAGATTCCTTAGAGAGGTAGCATGAAGGAAAATTGTTTAATTAAATAGATCTCTTGAGTTTTTCAAAATGCACATGTTAAGTAGCACCAGAAGACAAAACCAAATGAAGAATTTTAATATTCCTTATTCAGACAGTCATCTGCTTATGCAATATTTGCCCCTTAATTATGGAAATTAATATTTGTGAGGTATTCTGTGTACATGATAGTCATAATCTGTGACTCAGATTCAGTGTTTAGATGTTTAAGGAAATAGACACAAAGTGCTTTAATAAGTTGACCAACTGAGGTCAATGTAGCAAGTACAGTTATTGATGGAGCCTTTCATTCAAGCAGCATTTATTAAATGCCTGCTTTGTATAAGGATTTCATATTTTGCTGCATGTAGATCAAATGGTTCATTTTTGATTCAAGGACAATCTTTAAAATGTCATTCATTTTCATTATCTTTTGTTTTTTTGCACAGTCTACAAGAAAGGTAACAAAATATAGGAAAAACTATGAGTCAGAAGATCAGAGTTCTGGT